GTAAAGCAACAGCTTTGCGAGTGCATCGCGCTTTCTGTCAATTTCTTCACCGCGTGCCGTACAACTACGATGTAAATGATCAAATCTTAAGTTCTCTTGAGAACGTGAACGGCAGGCAATAAATTTCATTGTGTCTTTCTGAGCTCGGACGCGGTCTCCAGCTTCATTTCCCAACCTTTAAAAGACTGGGCAATTTGGAATTAATGAGAAATAGTTTGAATTAAGACCCGAATTCAATTTCTCAGTGGCGTTTTCGCTGGCTTTGCCGTCGTCAGATCTTAAGGTTCCTTTTGTCTCTCACAGGAAGGTGGTATGGTGTATGGTGCTAAATTGGGAAGTTAAGATAGATAGTCCACAGCTTAAAAAGGGTATTAACACGTATCTCATCCCNTCAACAAATTCGCACTGTGGAAGGTAAGAGGAAGAATTCAGATTCGTTGTGTGAGACAGAAGCGTTCCATCAAGCGACGGTCAGCGTTCTCGTTGCTTAAGTTCGCTATTATGTTTGACACGAAAACACAATGTGTCATAGGCTAAAGATAAAGAAAGGTTAATTAGATTAACATTTCAAGGGTGTTTTCTTGATTCTTTAATTATTTCTCTGGCTTTTTATTTATATCACGATTATATCTTTTTCTTTTCATATCTCTGTACACTGTTTATATTCCCCTTCCTATTCCGGTTCCTATTCTATTTTTCCCTTATTTTTCGTATATAATCTGAATTGGAATTAAATCCAGATTAACTTAAATTAAAGTAAATGTTGTCCCTGCTTTTATATAGGTTTCTCTTCCCATTCCGGTTCCTGTTCCTGTTCCTATTCCCGTTCCTATTCCGGATTCCGGATTCTCGCTTTTCCAGACGCCCCTCAAAATGGCGGCCAAACTTGGAGATTGCCGAAAATTAGGTTAGTTCACGGAGTTATAAAGTTTTAGTAAAGATCGGGCCGCAAAGTTTTTTTCTGTAGTTACCTTTTCTATGGCACCTACTTCCTAGCTATATTAGTTGGATCAGTTAAGAACGCCTCACTTTTTCGAAAATTTACCTTGAATTTGATCGGTTTTCGCGTGTGTGACTTAAGCGAACCGATAAGTTGTCATTCAAGTCTTCCTGTTTGCTTGATTGAAACGTGATGTTCACGAAAGTCGCCTTGATGGATAAGATAGAGTTAATATACATGGCTGTGGTATTTGGTTTTTGCTGAGTCCCTTAGTGTTTTTTTAAATTGTCCTCCAAAGTTGTCTCAAATTAAAGTCTTCAAAAGTGTCACGACAGGCCCTCGCTCGAGTGAAATTTAATTTCCGTAAAACTCTGAAAAATAAAGAGATCCGATCAAACGGATTGTGGTTTTAGTAAAGGTACATGAATGTCTTACAACACACAAGAAATGAGTTAAATCTGTGTCTCAAGCAAAATCGACCGGACCGCTCTTACAGAGACACTCTCTTAACTTTTTTCTCCAAAAATGCGGCGCTTATTTGAGAGCGGAGCTTAATACCATAGTAATACTGCTTTGTTCAGTATTTACACGAATAAGCGCCGCGGCGTTAATAAACTCCTCCCCCGCCAATGCGGCGCTTATTTGAGGGCGGCGCTTATTCGAGTAATTACTGTAATTGGCAACTTAAGAGTTTATTACATTTAGGGAAAATTGTTATTACATTTAGGACAAAATGTTATTACATTTAGGGCCGTTTATTACATTTAGGCCTTCTACATACGATAGGAAATAGCCAAAGGGAGTAGCGGGCTTTTTTGTGATTCCACAGTACCGAAGTCCTGATCCTCTTTGATGATGTTCCCACAGGCCATCATACTCGTACCACCCGGCCTGTGGTACCCAGGGTGAAGGCAGGCAGAGAGCTGATTCAAAATGATTGCCTTTGCCATAGGTCACGTCAAATAACTTATAAGTAGTAAGTGACCCATTTAAAGCTTATTTGATGGTGATATCATCAGGAAGACGACAGACTTCTGAAATGCGCCCATTTCTTGAAAGAATGTCATCATTAAATGGCAAGGCAAGTAGTATTCCTTCAATGAAAACCCGTAAAAATTCTGACCTGAAGCCGTCACGTATTAGACATTATTCGTTATGTAGCATTCTTTTATGTCGTTCATGTAATTCATTTACTTCTGAAAATTAAGCGAGAATATTATTTGTTTAATACAGTTTTGAGAAAAATACCTCAGGTATATAAAGGTTTGCAGTAGGACAAAATGTTGACAAGTAACGTGGAGATTTAATTGCCACAATAATGCCCTTTTTTTTTCAAGAAAAAATCAGCTATTTTCGGATTTGTTATACAGGGTGACCATGCCACTTTTATTTTAAAGTACCCAGATCGTGTTTATTTTTATATTTATGTTTCAGTTTTTTACTTTAATTTTTTTTTTTTTTAATTTCAGTTTTGGTAATGATTTTTTGACATCTCACCTGACTTCTCCGCAAACATTTCTTTCTTACCCTATCACGTTTGCAAACAATTTATTTTGTCTTTTCAAACCATGCACACAATTTTTTTCAATATTTCTCATCCCCCGCCCGCCCTTCCAGAAAAGTAATGGTCCGTCCCTATTAATTTGATGTTTACAATTAAATAGGCTTATTAGACCGGGATTTTACGGTACGAACTTGAACTTAAATTTTAGTGTCAAAAGAGATCTATAACGCGTCTTAAAAGAAACTATAGTGTATAAGCGGCGTTCCTGTCAGTGTGTTTAAGTTTAATAAAACACGACCAAGTTTTATCTCCAATTTGTGGGTCAAAATAATTCAGGACGTTATCTTTGTCAGGCCCGCTATCCACACGAAGGAAATAATTGAAAACGATTTCATGTATTAATATTTCTTGGCAGGATAACTATTCCTCCCTCTGAAGAGACGTTCACTCCGGGGCCAATGTTTGAGCGACTATAAATAAGAAATTTTCAACAAGAATTCATGGCGCAGTTTAAGGAACAGGAACTGACAAGATGGATTTAGTGCACTGTAACTCCAATATTCATTCAAGACTGTTCAATGTCTCTATCCTCATCTATTATTATTAAACATCTATTCGAAGAGGCAGAAATAGCTTAAGAAAGGCTAAAATATCTTCATGACTGTTCCACTATGATTCAAAGTTGTTCCTTTGACTTCCTTGAGAAACAAGAGGGTTTGGTATTTCACAATTCAATTTCCATTTTTGGCTCAGATTCCTCAAAAAGAGCTTCGAAATTTTTCGAAAATAGTGACGAAACTGGGAGGTCTAAGAAAATATCTCGTAACAGTTAAACCTTTAAAAAAGCAACGAAAATTTTCGGGAAAATAATGAGAAAGCCCTAGTAATGAGTTTTCCAAGGATGAACAAACAGGTAGAAATTTTATAACGCTGTTTAGAGGTGCATCTCTTGAAGCTCTTGGCTCGTTTCAAACGTCGTGAATAGAATAGGGGGCTTTTACGTCCGAATTAGATTAAATAATATTTAGATAAAGATTACTTACTTTAAATATTTAAATAAAGATTATTTACTTTATCGCTGCATGCTTTTCGCAGCCATGGAACCAAGAAATATTAGGCGTCTGGGAACGGGCCGGGTCTGGGTCAGACCATGATCCGATCGCCTGCTCAAGCCAGTGACAAGGAATGAAAATATTGCCAAGAATGCATCTCTGAACGTCGTGCTATTGTCGTGCCGAACTCACTTCTTAGATTATAAATACAAGTATATGCTGAATACATTTTTAAAGTTGACTAAACCGACTTTTCTTTTCATGTTTTGTTTTTGACAACATCTATTTTATTCCACCGAAATACATTCAGTCAAATTCAAATGTTTCTGATGGGAGGTGGACGTACGTCTGTACACAGACTAGTGATCTGCCAGCCACGGATAAGAGCGTAAAGAAATCATGTTTAAAACAGTTAAAAAACAACTTGTACTATTTGTTAATATATATTCTGGTACTTGTTTTTAGTGACCATCTTCGTAGTACAAAATTTATAAAAGTTAAAAAAATCTTACTTAATACATTAAAGCTTTGTATAATAATAGGGAGTTTTAGCAACGGCGACGGCAACGAGAACTTCAAAAAAAACAATAGGTTTATTAAGCAAAATAACAAGTTTGAACGTGTATCACACTCTTTTGTACATTTCTTTGCCGTTACTGCACGACTACGACGTGAAAATGCCTAATTTCACGTTTTATGGAGGATGTAAACAAGCGACCACGAAATTTTAATTCTTTCTCTTTCAAGACTTGAGTGCGGTCCTCAAGAAATCAACTTCAGGGAAATTTGCCTACATTAGACATTTTCGGAGAATTGGAATTAACGCGACACAGTTTAAAAAACTTTAATTTATTTACAAGTGACGTTTTCGCTTCCGTCGCTGTCGTCGAAGCTAAAACTCCCTAATGACTAATTCTAAAAGAGGAAATGTGGAAGTTTTTTTTCCATTTTGGAAGCATACTAAACGTGAAGAAAAGATAAACGAAAATAGAGTACATTTAGTTGTGGTATCTGATCTAACTTCATGTTAGTACATGTTGTGGTTCAATTTCATCATTGGTTCCAGTTTTATTTTTCGCTGTTTAAACTACGAGTAGTCCCCGTTTTTCCTCAGTGATAGAAGAGCGAGCCTAACGCGAGAGCGAGTAAAAATCACCACACGCGAGAAAGGCGCGTTTCGCCTTTCTCACGTGGGGTGATTTTTACGCGCGCTCGCGTTGCGCTCGCTCTTCTATCCCTGAAGGAAAATGGAGACTACTCGTAGTCTATCGTTATTTTGGGGTATGGTCAGTAATGTATAATTGGTGATCAGGGTTTGAAATAAAGGGAAATAAGATTTAAACCAAGAAAAAGCTGAACCACAATATACATCTAAAGTCTATTTATCAAACTAAAACTAGCAATGAAAGAACTATTGAAATATTATCTATCGAAATCATTATATAATTCTTTGTTAAATTGCAGTCACGGTGAAATGACATTAAAAAGTGTTAAACAAGGTACATTAACGGACATGAAGATGAATGACATCGGCATTTTCTCTTTGTTGACGTTTAAATAACACCAGGAGAGCATTCCTAAACTCTGGAATTCTGATTGTGTAAACGATGGGATTAACAAGCGAGTTCATAAGAAATATAATACTTAAAGAAATTTCCAAACGTTGTAATTCCTTTGAAGAAAGGAATTTCATGATTATACTAGGTTCAAGGAAAGTAAAAACCGCGTATGGTAGCCACATAAATAAGGATACGATAGTCATTATGAATAATGTTACGGTCAGTTTCCTTTGTCTGTTGGCTGCACCATGGTGCTGAGGATGCGCTCCACACAAAAATTTAACAACAATGGAAGAGTAAGAAACACAGATAACAAATAGACACAAACAACAGTATGATTGCCATACGTAATAACGATATAACCATTCTCCATATCGTACAATAATTATTAACATGGCAGTTGATAACATTGCAGTCAAAACCCAGACACCAGCAATTGTTACCCTGTAGACCCACTTTTTGATGAGGCGATGCCTGAGAGGACGAATTGTTGCATGCATCCGTTCCAATGAAATAGCTGCAGTGTTTGTTAGAGAGGTCAGAGGAAACCAGAGGTGGAGAAAACCAGTTATTATCATCAGGGTTAAGTGAGTTTTCCCGGGGTCACATAAGAAGAGTAGGTATGCGAATAGATAAATGCTAGAAAATCCTCCGACAAAAATATCAGCTACGGTCAGGTTTATAACTAGGTACATGGCACGAGTTCTTAGACTGCGGTTTCTTATAAAAAGAACAACTGATAGAAGGTTCACTGTTACTATAGTAACAGACACGATTATTAATAAAGTCAGCCAGGTGATGCACTCGGATGAAGAAAATATCATGACTTGTTTTCTTTTCGCTTCAAACTTTCGGTTTCCGTTTCCTTGTCATAAATGCTCGTCTACCTTTAGAAAGAAATTGAAAAAAATTTGGTCAGTAAGAAAAGAATATTAAGGGGGTAAACATAGATGGTTGAAGTTATTTCCTCAAAAGATCAGTAATGGAGATATTTTAACATCAGTTCCTTACAAAAAACGTTCACCTTAACTTTAAGTTTTCCAGATGCCTTCCCAAGAGCTGCCTTGCTTTTACCTATGGAAGAAAATATCAGTGGCGCGTGAGGGTAGATTAGGATGACTTAGTTGACTAAATTGAGCTGAGGGCCATAAATACCTGATTACATGAAATTTTCGCGACACTTTAATTTCGCGAATTTGCGAAAATTTTGCATTTTGACTCACTTTAAATTTCGCGTTTTTGAGTGACGCACTTTATTTCTTTGTCAATGTTATTTAACATGTCCCTGAATTTGATCAAACAACTTACAAAGAAGGAGTTCGATTTCGATGCAACATAAGATATCGGCAAAGACGCCACGGTTTTAATTTAAGGAGCCAGTAAATGGACAGTTTGATGATTGTACAAAAGAAGTGCTACCTGGAGTGGAGACGGAAAGCAGTAGTGATGAAGAGGACCAGAACATTACCACAGAATAGTTCAAAAAGATTGTCATAAACGTGTGTAGTGGTAGTAAAGTCGCTTTTTTAATTATTAACATAATGTGAGTCACTTATTATAATTTTCGCGTCATGTTATTTTCGCGACGTTTAATTTTCGCGTCACTTAATTTTCGCGATTTTTTTTAAATCGCGACATTCGCGAAATTAACGAGTCGCGAAAATTTCTTGTAATAAGGTATTTGATCTTCAGCTGAATATTTTACTAACTACAACGTTGCACTCGTTCACTTTAGTATAACTGATTACCAAGTCGAAAGTTTATTATTGCCTAGTGATTAGGGAACCCACGCTCTTATTAGTAAACTGCAAATGGAAATTAAATAAGAGATAAAATCTTACCTGTTTTATTTTCCCTATGCTCGAATCCGCTGTGTTGCGAAGTGAAATGGAAGTTGTTTTACGATGCGAAAACGACGTTCAATTCGCCGCTTTGACCGTTGTTGATTTCACAATGCTCTATGTGTCTTTGGCTCGCATTTCACTGTTGGTGTCACGCGGCGGTTGTTATCGTTGGATATTAATTTATTAACTTTTTGAATTAGAATTTTACTACCGTTAATTCAAAAAGTTAATAAATTAATAACCAACGATGAAACGCGAGACGATAATAGGGACCCATTAGCACCGAGAGTTTTCATAGGGACGGCGACGTCGGTGGACGAAGGAGACTGGGGTGAGGATGGCGTCTTCGCGCCAAAATATAAACCTTTAGCACCCTTCATTTTCCGACGGCAACTTGCCGGGTTCTTTGAAAATGAACAAATTTAAGACTTGTCGAGGGATACTTTTGCTTAGCTATGCAGACAACAACATTTTGGACGAAGAATTTGTTCCATTATACGACTGTTATCGTTCAAAAAATCCAGATTTCGGCTATTAATCGTACGATGTTTTCGATCTAGAAAACATGAATTCAGCTGACTGCAAAGCCGAATTTCGAGTTGAAAAGGCAGACCTTCCTCTCCTTGTAGATGCCTTACATGTTCCCGCAGTGTTCCATTGCAAGCTGCAGAGAAGCATTTGTGATGGTTTGGAGGGACTGTGTGTGCTGCTGAGACGAACAAGTTATCCCTGCAGACTCAGTTTCTGTTTTGAGTTTGATTACAAATGAAGTCATGGATTTTATTTATGACAACCACTGTAATCTCGTAACAGAGTGGAATAGAGATTTACTAGCTCAGTTGCTCTTCAACAGTATGCTGGCCACCATCTCGAGGAAAGAATCTCCTCTAAATAACTGCTTCGGTTCATAGATGGCACGGTCCGACCAATCTCTAGACCTGGGAATGGACAGAGGATTGTGTATAATGGACACGAACGGGTTCTTGGACTAAAATTTCAGTTCATTGCCTCACCGAATGGACTTATAGGAAACATCTTTGGGCCAGTAAGTAAGAACTTAAATATTTTCACTGAATATTAATAAGATTAATTACAATGTCATTCATATGGGCTCCCGAAATCTAAGATTTTTTATGAACTTTTGTCTCAGAGGGACGAAAACACGACGCGGGTATGCTCGCTGACTCTGGGCTTCTGAACGACATGGGAAACTTCGCCTTTTCCCCAGCTGGCCAACCTATGTGCGTTTATGGCGATCCGGCTTACCCCCTCCGGATTCATCTTCAGGCGCCATATCGCCAGGGACGTCTAACCCAACAAATGGAAGATTATAATAAAGCAATGAGTGAAGTGCGAGTGTCCGTGGAATGGCTTTTCGGGGACGTAATTAATTCCTTTAAGTTTTTAGATTACAAGAAAAATCTAAAGATAGGTCTAAGCAGCGTAGGAAAAATG